GAAAGTGAAAAGCCTGGCGGCAGAATTTTAAGAGGATTGAAGAAAAGAGAACGAGAACAGAGTGATTGGTGTGAAAACGAAAGAACAATGAAGTCTGAGACATTGACTGATATTTTGCAAATGAAATATTCACTGTATGGTCTTCATATTTTACTAAGAGATTGTGTAATTTTGTATCTAAATACATTTGGTTGTCCCCGCCTGTGTTCTCGTTCACTACAGTTTCTCTATCAAAGTTTCACAGTTAGGAAGAATTCGAACACGGATTTAACGAATTTCAAAGAATAAGCAAGGCATAAATATATTGAATGCAGATAATATGTATTCATTGGAACTTCTTGCGGAGTAAATGAAATCATAGTTAACACTGAAGATCGTAGTTCACTGCTTAAAATGGACATTTCGCTTGATAAGATGGGCAAAAGTGTAGGCCTTTCTATAAGGCCTTACAAATGTTTACCTTTGTGTAGTCAAGTAAATCTAAATATTCTACTTATCAATCAATACCTCCAGTTGCTTCGCGTGACGGATATATGTAAGTACTTGCTAATTGTTCGTCAACTTTTGGTGTCCTGAAAGATTCATGGTATCCAGTCTATGAAGTAGATTATCTGCTAAAGAAAAGGGGGACATAGCTCCTACACTTCAATAAAGTTACTCGTTAAATATCGTGGTTGTCTATGTGAAGGATAAATTTCAAAAGGAAATCACTGACATGACTTAAGTAATAGAAAGTCTAAAATCTCTAGGAATGGTTGTGTAATTTAATATTCGACTTTATTTTGCAACCCAACAGCCAACTGAATTAATTGGAAAGTATCCCGAAGCTGTTTGCATTGGTTAAACGTATACAATAAGTACTTTTATGAATATTCTCTGTTCCTATTTGTTATTACTGATAATTGTGGGCTTGGTCGTCTTACTATGTTGAGAATCATATGGAATATGCTTTCCTGTATTACTGTTCTTTCTAGACCATCAGAGGAGTTTCTGTATAGTATAAAACAATGGACCACACTTTACCTACTGCGTTAAAATTCATGTAGAATCAACAACTCACAAAGTATAAATTAGTTCTTCTTTTCATGCATACAACATTGAGGGAAGGCAGACTGATATTGCTGAAGGTTCAGGCGCTAATAACAGTTAAGTTTTTGGTCGTCCCAGGTTTCGTAATATGAGTGTCCGATATAATCTTTTCGCGGCGAGTGGTATATTTGCGCCACTGTATGTTAGAATCTAGACACAGAATCTAGTGCACTAGATCACCTTACATGACAAGCTGACAGTACATCTTGTAGATATTGTAGTATCCAATTACTAATGATTTTACTTATATTTGTACCTATTAGCATAATATATTCAGATAATATCGTATATCAGTCTGTTTGCAACATGGACACTTAGTACCGAACATGTGTAAAACGTCATCATAAATGTATACAGTTCCTAAGTGACTCTAATTTAAGGCTAAACTCATGGTATCGCCTTAAAGGAAGACTGAACAGTGATACTGTTATCTATAGACGATCTTTGAGTGACGCCCCAGTTACCTTGAAAGTGTACACCTAACTAGAACCAAATGGGGGTTATAAACCAGTGTGAGGAATTAAAATTATGATTTACAGTTGATGGTTAGGGCTAGAAATTAAATTTACGACTTTCGTCACTAACTGACATGAGCAACAATGCCAAAACTCTATTTAGCCAAATAGATGAGTGAATTTCACGCCTAAACCAGAGACCTGTTAGCTTATACCTGATTGGTTAGTCCGTAAATTATAGACTCGCCTACTGATCTATTTTCTGACATGTCCAATTTCGAATGAAGTTCTCGTTTCTTTTTAGCTTCGTCGTAATAAACGGTTGAGGTTGTTTATCTTAAGTAGTGTGTTCTTTCTCCTGTCGACCATCGTAGAAAACAGATTTTATTCCATCTATCGAGATCGTTTTTCTCCTGATAGTTTTGTCGGTGGTGAACTGCTTATTTCTCCATTCAATAACTGAGGAAGATCCTTCATACGATTGCTATAATGGTTTTCTAACGACTTCGATGCGGTCAGAAATAAGTTTACACGTCCGCAGATGTTTGTCGAGCTGTCTCTGGCGTTCATTTTTACTTGGAGTTATCGCTTTAATCTGTTGTACATCCTGCATTAAACAGTTGCGAAGCGTGTTGAATCGCGTGGTGCTTTGTTGTCAGAACTAATTAGTTGTCTCGGTTAGACCAGAGTTGTGCCGTAAACGAGCTCAGCTGATTTGCAGGCAATATCTGTTTTAATTGTTGAATAAATCCCAATGGGGATATGTGATAAAGCGTCATTTCGTTGCACGATTATAAAAAACAAACAACAAACACCATGCTAAATTACCTCTCGTCAAAAGAAAATTTGGGAAAACGTAAGAAGGGTAGTAAATATTCGTCGGTGAACAATAGCATTGTCGATGTTCGAATCACCACGTCAAAACCAAGAATACGTTACATTGTAACCAACTAACGTAGATAGCCAAACCAGAAATAGTGAACAGGGACTGAAACAAAACATTATTTCATTCAAAAAAGCATATTCACTCACTCGTGCCACGAATATTGACTACCGTGTCATTTATAACCGTTTAAATAATACTAGGGATATCCTTAATGACAGCGGATGCAGAGTGGTAAGGCTATGAAACAACGAGGCTCTATCCATCTCACACTTTTTGAATGATACCAGCATCACAGAAAGCGACTTAAGTATCACACCAGGTGGCATTCCATATACTTCTCCTTACTGACATTCTGATACCGGCAAACAATGCTTTGTCTCGGTGTTCCTCCAGAACAATGAGTAGTCTGAATTCATAAGAGTTTTATTTCAAAAATCAATCCCATCCTCGTCTAGAAAATAATTTTGTGCTTTTTCGCTCAACCTGTCTTGGTATTTGTTCAAAGACGTGAACTGAAAAAGTATTCGGTTTAAATGGCAAACTACGGTTAACTTGCGTAGATGCTTCAAACCTGAAATGTGTGAAGTAGAAAAGAATCGGGAGAAAATCATTATGAGGCGGCGTATCGCTCATAATCCTATTCACTTTAATAGAATAATAAAATGTGATACTAAATTACACTTGAAAGAGCATCCATTCTATGTGGAAAATAAAAATAGTCAATAACAATCATAGGACAAACATTTTTGTAGTTAAAATCGGCAGACCGAAGATTTCTCAACTGAATACGACGTTTATGCCACTCTCTCTAGTATCTTTAGAGAAAGGCCTAAATGTTTTCTTTACTGAGTGATGGTTACCACCCGTTATGAAGTGAAGTTCCCGTTTTATAGTTTCGGAAAGAACGAAGCAAGGGGCAGCTTCTGCCTGAGGAAGCTGTTCATCACTTGCTTATTACCCTTTAAGTTGGCATGTCACCGTGTCCTGAAACTAAGTCCTCAGAAATATCATTTCATGAACAATCATGGTACTGTTTAATATTCTTATTTCCAAAAATCATCTTCCCTCGAATTGGAAGGATGTTATTTTTTCGACTAATATTTATATATGGAATTAGACAAATGGTATAACTATCGGCCTGTCAGTCTAATCAATCTGTTAGTTAAGCTACTTGAGGAAAATAATTCGGGCTAACTCATGAGAAATCAGTTAATTCGTGCTCATTGCTGATCTCAGAACGAGTATTCACAATCAACTAACTTAACGATCATGGGAGAGAATAGGATACTAGCTCAAAACAACGATTTGTCTATCGATGTTAGTAAATCTCTTGATAATGTTTCGTACATAGGACTTATGTGGAATCTCTCGAGCTGTGAAGTGACAGGTGACATGAGGAGTAGATAAGATACTTTTCCTGTGTCTGAATACAGAGGCTAAGGGTAAGCTAAATCCTATCTAGATGAAGGGCGGACAAAAGTGGTGTAACTCTAGGTACCACCTTACGTTGTTGTTTTATCTTCTTTACCCTAATAAATTACCAAAACTGATTATGTCGTCAACATTTTTGTTTGGGAATAAGATCGAGATCTGGAGAATCATAAATGATGAGGCTGATTGCCGTGATCTTCAATTTGATTCGTACAAATTACTTAGATGTACCGGAATTTGGGGCTTAACGTCGAATTCCAGGAGGAATGTGGTTATGGACATTGTACTTGTTAAAGCTCACTAGTATACTACTACCCGTTTCCGTGTATGCAAAGAAAAAGACTTGAAAGTATTGATTAGTCATGACTCAAAAACAATTTTGAATTGTAGTGCGATTGCTGCCAAATGTTTTCGAGTGGTGTGGTCACGTTGCCGTGGTCTCAGGGGCTTTAACGAAGTTATTTTGGATTTTATGTCCCATTTATGTAAAACCATACTTAGAAAATCGGATTCCAGGAACTTTGCGACGTCTTACTGATGATGGTAACACATTCGAGAACTAAGTTATGAACGAGTCTTTGTAAACTCTCGTACAAAGGATGATTATAACGTTCGAACATTTTCTCCTTATCTGTCTTGTAGCTGAAAGTGGCGCTACTTTATATAGACAGAGGTAATAGTCCCCGAGTTCACGGAACGAGTGTTTGAAAATGGCGGATAGATAGACTCACAATGAGATTCCTTTTTTTCTCATCGAATGGTCAATGACTGGAATGCCCTACGCGGAGAGGTAGAATCAGAGGCATCAGTGAACACTCTCAGAAATAGTGATGAATCCTCACTTGAAAACGAGCTTCCAACATCAATAAAGGTCAACCAACCTACTATCTTCATAATGATGACTGAAGACTGATGACCACGGAAGTTCCCGTCAACCCAGATATAGACCTCAGGTAACGAATAATTTCGTTAATGATGAATAGTAAAGCTCGAAGTCTAAAGCTCACAGACTAGTCTTTGCGATTCGGGTGTATACTCTAAAAAGCAACCATTTAGTGTATTGTGTGACAACGTTTGTTGTTTGAATTTTGTTCTGTTCAACCTTAAGTTGAGCGCATCATTGGCTTTACACGTCATCTATGGACTTAACTTCTGTTGTAGTATTTTGTTTATGTATTGGACTGTCGCAAAGCATTTTCTTTCATATGAAAGAAACTGAAGAACGGTGCTTTTTGGAAGATGTTCCGGAGGACACTCTTGTGGCAGGTATTCATGTTTTTAGGAAATAATGCTCGCTCACAGGGAATTATAAATTATTGGCTTCTAAAGGAAAGCATTTTGAACGCTCCAAAGACTTGGGAGTAAAAGTTAAGGTTATTGATCCATATGATCAAATTTTGCTCGACCGTGTAAGTCTTTGTTTTCTCAGTAGCATGTTAAGTTTTTTGCATGATGCTCGATACATCAAATAATGTATGTATGGGCCGGCACTAACTGTCCTTCTGTATGTTAAATTTTACAACCAGGCATAACAAGGTGAGGTTGCTGCGATTAGTAAGTAGTCAGTGAATAACAATTATCATGATATATATGGTACTTGCAAACGCCGAAAAATGACTACCATGTTATTTGACATGGTAGACGATCAACAGTTGAACTAAGGTTTAGCGTCAAGTTATTCAGAGTTCATATTGGAATTCGTGCGTTAAATTAGCTTGTGGTTGTAAAGAGTCCAGTGAAAGATGTTTTTATTCATTTTTTAAGGCCCTGGGATTCCATAAATTGGTTATTATGCAGTTGGGGTAAAACGCAGAAAATACCTCCTACATACTAGTATTTTCAATACAAGTCTATGAATTAAGAGCAGCCTGCCTCAGAATACTGAAAACCAACGTAGTCTTGAAAAAAGTCTAATAGACATCGTAAAGCCATCGGTTACATTTGAATTTTATTGGTTATTTGCCTCTACTTACTAATTGAGCAAGACGTACGAATATATTTCGTTACGTTCATTTATGTAGACCACCGTTGAAATATTGTTTTATCATAACCTCTCGGTTACCTTGATGAGTTTATATAAACTCAGTACTTGGGTTCATATTATCTGCCAGTCTCAAATTACGCTGTCACCAAACTTGTGTTGTTTGTTTTGACTTGAGCCATCTAATTAGAAACTAGTTTGTCTGGGAGCCCACTGGTTGACCTAAAATTCCTGATAACGTTCTGTTTGTCAAAAGCCGTGATAATCTACTGTCAATGACATTAAAACTTAATTTTAGCCTCATCAAAGTATCAGGTACTAGAATGTCATCACGGAGCTTTGGTCTGTCACACTGCATACACGGCACATCAATGAGAGACTAACTAATGATTAATGCGACTGGTCTGCCCCTACTTTAGTTATTCACTGCACAGGTAGCCTCAAAGTGAAAGAAATAAACCCGTTTTACTCTTGATGGAGCGCTAATGGGTATTGTCAGTTTACTTTAAGGAATAGAGGTTGGTCCTACTTTTTTGACTCCTAAGTTTTTTGAAGATGGTAGTTTGATGTTATCGAAAAGTAGAAGTTGGTGTGACTGATCTCAGTTTCTCGTTTGGTGTATTTGTTTCCACCCCTTATCGTGTTAGTTCTCACTACGTGTTAACGTGTCATGCACATCATTGCGAGATTTATGCCTCTGAAACTCATGTGGGCTTTGTTTTCCCAATACACTTGAGCAGTTTCAACATAAAATTGTTGAGAATTCTTTTCGAACCTTATTGTCAGTCCTTACAGTTAAACCCCTTAGACTGGGAGGTATTTATTTGTCGATATGAAAGTTGATGTCTAGCAATAATTGTAGGTCTCTGTTGTGCCTTTCTAGGTGTATTCTTCAGAAGGGCGGTTTGTTTTTACTGCTCATAGACCTGGTGAATACAAAATATGCATTTCATCTGATTCCGGTGCTTGGTTTGGTGGATCACAATTGGTAAGGTATACGCTACGTTCATAATTCTCTAGAGAGTACACCTCGACATCGCAGTTGGTGACCACGCTTTAAATTATCAAGAAATAGCTACAAAGGACCGATTGAACGATATTCAGCTTCGGGTTCGTCAGCTACTTGATCAGGTTCAAAGCATAGCCAAAGATCAGAATTATCAGCGTGTGAGTGATTTATACACCATATTTGTGACGCTTTTGACTATTTATCTTATGTCTACCGAAGATTACTTTTTCTACATAATGTCACTTGTAGGTACTAGGAATTTAGATCAATAAACCACTCGAATTTTTTAAATTTTTCTGCTGAAATTGGCATTCAAAATGGTCGTGACACATAAGGACGTAAGTAAGGTGAAATTTGTGTTGTCCCAAGGAATTTTGACAGTGATTCTTCCCATTGCGGATTGTAGTCATGAATTATAGTTTTAATATACTGGATTTGACTTTAGGGCAAAGAAGTCGTCTTCCTAATTGTCTAACAATATATCAAAAGTTTATGGGGTTATTTATGACTTTTTGACAATGTGATTCCACATAAATTTAATAGCAAGCTTCATAATTTCGCAAACTATGTTTCTACGGAGTAGGATAAAGTGCAGAAGTGCTGATAGATTTTGGTGAGCAGTTTATTGTTGCTGGGTCCTTGTGAGTGCTTAAGTTGTGCCTTAAGTATTTGATAATAATATACTGCAATCTGATTGGACTGGTTGTGTACTTTTAAAAAAAAATATTGTATAGATCCACGAATAGAGAAGTTTGGGAATTCTGATTTAGTCATTTCCCGTTTCAAAAAATACATACCTTAGGCATGTTTTTCTGTGCATTGGCTCAGCGAAAAGGATATTCCCTAGCTTTCAAATTTAATGTACTATTTTTTGCCCATTGTTAAAGTTTGGCTTCTGTCAAAACTTTTACAGGTAAGAGAAGAAAGTTTCCGATCACTAAGCGAAAGCACAAACCGACGCGTGACTTGGTGGAGTGTTGCTCAATTGGTCTTGCTTATCTGTATTGGATTCTGGCAAATGCGTCACTTGCGCGCTTTCTTCCAAGCCAAAAAATTGGTCTGACCAAGTAACCGTGTGTATATTCAGACCTATCTACATCTATTGTGATAATCTTCTGTAAATGTAACATCTATAAGACGTGTCTGTGAAAACATCTCTAATTTTTACTTTTCATCTGTGTATTTACATTGGTGTCAGTTCGTCTATTCAACTACCAACTAGTAAGAATCGTATGTACTAAGTATCTTATGTAAAGCTCTGTTTTTTTAATAAGCTTTCAAGATATTTTTAAACCTGTATCTGTCTTATATTTCCAAAGATTTTTGTATTTATCTGGTAGTAATAATTTGGAGATATAAGGGATAATATATGTTTCGATTTACGTTTACTAAGTTTCTACTTTAGTAAAGCTTCCTGTTTTTGTCTAATTGGATTGAGCTTCGAAAAATTAGTTCGACTGTCATTTATTGTGCATAATTAATTCTGCAAGCCGATATAAAAGGGTTACTGTGTACCCTGCTCATAAGACTTTTATGCGTTCGTTTATAATAATGTAGTGAAATGTTAGACAATCACTTCCACTGATCATATTTCAGTCTAATTTATAATAAATCACCCTATAAAGTAAGGTATAGTTGAAGGGTTGGATTTTTGATGGTTAAGGCTAACTTATACAGCTTAGGTGCCTTAGGTCATCTTATTGTGGCAGACTGGCCTTACCTGTCTAATGACTTGTATTTGTTTTAGGACGTGAATTATCTCCCAAGCACTTACAGTAGGCGTGATGGACAGAGCCAGTTGTGATTGTGGTTCAGGTAATAAGCTATCTGTTTACATTATCTGGAGAGTGGTTTTTCTATGCGCGTATTGTACAGCTCGCTCTTACTTGAGAATGTAGAGTTTTGATTGTCGGAAAAATATACCAATAATTATCGTGTTAAGTCTATGGTGGCCTTGGACCTTAAATGTGCATTCCCTATTGGTCGGTATTTGTTTCACTCGTTAGATATTGTGTAAATGTTGTTTTCTATTTTATGGTACGATGTGGTTTGTTTGTTTGGTATATAAATGGAGTATGTCTGAAATACAATGATTCATAACTCAGAGACTGTGACTTGTGTTCTTGACTCAACTGGCTAGGACAGACAGCGAAGCAGGGCCAATCAGGGCACTAGGTCGTCCTCACATGTCTACGTGTCACTGTCACAGAAGCGATCGATAAATACGCTGCTTATCAAAACCTGCAGTCCACACGTTACAACAGATTGAAAGTTCAGTATTGCTGAAAACGGAGATTTCATGATTGAATTGGAAAGATTTGGATACATTCAGACTTAAGTTAAGACATACTCATGTGATTAGGAGCTTTGCAATGGCTGTCACCAATGCAATGAAGTGACTGCAATCAACTAACACCAAAAGTAAATGCAACTCATTTACGAAGGACAGGTATATGTTCTTGAATTCCAGTCACCCTTTTTGTATTATGAACTATTGATGCAACCTGGTTGTCCAAAGTAAAGCATGTTTCGGTCTTAGAATCTGTTAATTAGAAGTCAAGTATGTCTTCCATTAGGCCACAGCTAAAGGAAAAGAGTGAAGAAAACTAATTTCCAGGATTAACAAAATACGAGGACGTTAGTGATCGCCGCAGCCGATACCTTTTTTTGCTTATAATTTTCGTTTATCTCATGGACACCATTTCACATGCTTATAATTAATCGAATAACACATCAACGGTCTATATCCTAAACTGTTACTATGCCATTGTTTTGGAATCCCGAAACCTTAGTGTGACCCCACTTTCATTATTCAAGAGTTCCTGTAGGTAGTGACTTAAAACGACTGAAGCATTAAAATAGTTTTAATCAACGCAGGTCCACAGGATCAATATTTCTAGCTAAGACCCTGTATCTAATTATAATATATCTTACTGAATGGTCTCATTACAAAGAATCAATGGCAATTTCTTGAATACCTGTAGAAGTAGCACCGATTGCTTCGTTTACTTCATTACAAAGCTTATCATAATACGATCACAAACATTGAACTAAGACATACAGTAATGCTGCATATTTTCCAGGTCCTAATTTTGGTGTTTCTAACCTCGGCAGAAAGTCAATGATCCCTTCCATCCAGGAATGATCATATGAGAGGACATTCTAAGGAAGTCCATAGACTGAAATCGAATTGTCTACGTTTGGAGTTTTGTTTCTCTCACTGAGTAGTGAACTACTGGAATTCTCTATTAGAACATTATTATTTATTTATTTATTTGGACACATGAATATTGGTACAGGAGAGCGCCAATATATATGCGCCACACAAAACAATGAAAATTCGAGAGGAATACAAAGAAAAAAAAAAGCTAAGGAGCGCAACAAAAAAAAGAGAGAACAATAACGAAGAGATTGGTGTAAGGTAATGTGCTAGTAATCAGGGAACGCAAAGGTACAATCGGAAGAAATCTTTCAGGTAAGGGAGACACAACCACTGTTTATGAAGAAAGTAAAAGAAGGTTACAGCAGGATCGCCACTGGCTTCTATTCTGAGCCATATCTGATAACGTCTCTAGCCACTGTGTAGCACCATCTCTCAGACCCCAACCAGGGAGTCGTGAAGAACCAACACACGCCAGTCCTTTGCAGCTTTCTTTCATGCCACGACACCATGTCATGCACTGACCACCTCTCCGCTTCTTCCAACCAGTCCCAGAGTCGGCAAATAATGCACGACGTGGAATTCTCTGGGACGACATTCGGAGAACATGTCCAAGCCACCGAAGTCGGTGTTTCAAGATGGTGACACCAATTGAATTATCATCTCTGTGCCCGAACACACGATGCCGAGCATCTGCATTACTGACATGGTGTTGCCACTGAATGTCAGCAATCCTTCGGAGACAGCGATGATCGAACACAGAGAGTCGTCTAACGTCCTCAACTCGGAGAGGCCAGGTTTCACAAGCATAGAGCAAAACTGCTCTCACCGACGCGTTGTAGATCCGACCTTTTACGGCCAGACTAACATCACGAAGGCGCCATAGATGGCCCAGATTGGCATAAGCCGCTCTGGCTTTCACTATTCGTGCATTGATCTCATCACTCACACCCCCACCAGCACTTATACAGCTACCCAGATACACAAACTTCTCGACTACGTCTATCTGTTCACCATCCAGGGTGAGTACAGGATTGGAATCCTGCCAGTCTTGTAGGAGTACTTTGCACTTCGAAGTTGCAAAGCACATACCATACCTACGGACACTGATTGCCAACTGATTAAGTGCGGATTGCATGCCTTGGGCATTATCGCACAGTAAGACAATATCGTCCGCATACTCAAGGTCGAGAAGACTTTCTCCAGGCAACAGATCCACACCACCATTACTTACATTCATCAGAGCTGTTTCCAGAATGTCATCGATGGCAAAGTTGAAGAGGAATGGTGAGATTGGGCAACCCTGCCTAACCCCACTACTCGAATGGAACAATGGAGAGAGGTGGTTGTATGCCCTCACTCTGCCTGAGGTGTTTGTATATAGGGCTTTTAGGATGTTAATAAACTTCTCAGGCACACCATTCTTCAATAGACAATCCCAGAGAACAGTCCTATCCAACGAATCGAAGGCAGCCCTGATGTCAAGAAACACTACGATTGTTGGCCTTTGATAAGTATGACGGTGTTCTAACATTTGGCGGAGGGTGAAGATATGATCAATACATCCTCGACCAGAACGAAAACCAGCCTGCTCCTCGCGAGTCAATCTTTCTCGGGTTTTGAACAACCTACGAAGTATGACGGAAGCCAATAGCTTGGACGCAATCGGAAGTAGACTTATCCCCCGATAGTTGTTACAGGAACGACGTGAACCCTTTTTAAAGATAGGGACAACTATCGACTCATTCCATGACGTTGGCACACTCTCTAGTTCCCAAACCTTTGTGAACAACGTCGTCAATTCCTTAGTCAAAAAGTCACCACCATCTTTAAAAAGAGCCGGAGGTAAGTCATCTGGGCCAGGTGATTTGTATCGCTTCAAGAGTTGGAGTTCCTTGCGGACTTCCTCCTCGTTTGGTGGATCAGTCGTCACCGGCCATGGAGGGCAGGACAGTCTGACTGATGTTGCCTGAGCAGCAGGCCAGTTGAACTGCCCTTCGAAAAATTCTGCCCACCGTCCAAGACGTCGATGGATGTTAGTGATTGGCATCCCATCATCCTCGCAGATTGTTTCACTCACACCAGACTTCTTGCTGCCAGTGGCTCGGATGAGCTGGAAGAGCTTCCGGTAATTACCAGATGCACCTGCTGCTTCCAGCTCATTAGCACGCTTCGACCACCAGGCTTCTCGGTCCTTACGCAAGCTTTGCCCGATTTCCTTACATAACATCCTTCGTTTATGGTCAAACTCACGGTCACCCGGAGTAGACCGACGGGCTTCAATGAGTTGTAAGGAACCAGAAGAAGCCCAGTGCTTAAAAGCGGGACGTTTCGCAAACCCACAACTGACTGTTCCCGCCATTTTCATGGCGTCATGCAATTGCAACCAATGCTCATCTATACTTTTCGGTGGAGTGGTAGCTAGCCTAGAGGCTAGCTCGGTTCGATACTTACTTGCAACCGAAGTTGCAACCAGCTTGCTAACATCAATCCGTTGATGGCGTTCACTTCGTTGTCCACTGAAAAGTAAGGCAAGATTGGCGCAGACCAAGGCATGGTCAGAGTCCAGATAGGTACTCCAAAAGGAGCGGCAGTCTTTTACACAACCACACCAGCGGTAGCTGATCGCGATGTGATCAATCTGAGTCCAGGCTTGGGATGCAGAGGGAGGACGCCAGGTGGCACATCGGCGATGACTGTGCCGAAAGTTAGTGCTAGCCAGAAACAGGTTGTGGTCTGTGCAAGTTGCAGTAGACGGTCGCCGTTATCTGACCTGCGACCAACGAGTCCCCATCGGCCACCTAAACGACTCTCTTCTGTGCCTAGACGCCCGACCTGAGCATTCAAGTCTCCGGCTAGTACTACAATATCTGTCGAACGCACTTTCTGGAGAAGAACAGATA